AATTATTCTACCGAAAAACGTTATCATGACTCATTTTTATTTCTAGTGGCATATATTTTTCCTCTTACATTTGCGTGTACAGTTGGTGGTGAAAGTGGGATATGAACGGATGTTACGGGTGCAATTGAGTGACCGAGCGAGAAATGCACTATTGAAGCAAAAACAGTATATTGAACGAAGGCTTGAGAGAAGAATATACAGCGAAGTTAGCGTGGTAACAGTAATGTATAAAAATAGGGTGCGCTATGGGCCTAGCGCCGAGGCTGGGAATTGTCGAGGCGGAGGTTCCGAGCGCAGGTTACCAACCGAACCGTGAGGTTGGTCGCGTCGTGAACAGTAGCGGGAACACTAGTCGAGGTGAGTGTCGCGAGTGGTAACGGTGCACTGTTGGGAACTGTTGGCGGGAACAGTGGTGTACGCGCTGGGGAGGGACGCGAAGTAAGGAAAAGGGATTTTCCTTACACAACCCCCCCCCCCCCCCCCACCTCTCCCCCTCCCCCCCTAAGGAGGCCCTCCTTTCGAAAGCTCATGTACATCCCGGAAATTGAGGCTGCGCAGGTGCTCGATGAGGACAGGGTGGTTCTCAATTCTGTCCAGGGGAACCGTGTTGTCTTCAGAGGGCGTGCGGTGTTTCCAGCGGATCAGAAATTCGATTCTGCGAGCTCTACATAGATCACGAACCCGATGGATCAAGTTTTTCTCCAGTGTGATGATTGGCTCCGTTGGCAGTCGTGTCATGCTGGCGGGGCGGTTGCGAGGCAGCTAGCTGGTGGATGGAAGGTATGGGCGGGCAGGCTGACGTGGAATGACGGACTGACGTACCAGTCAGCAGGGATGAGGAGGTGGGCGGTGACGGGGGTGATCATGTGGCTGATGCCAAATGGCCCGCAGTATCGAGGGCGGAGTTTTGGGGTGATGGGCAGGCGGAGGTTTCGTGTGTCGAGTAGGACAAGGTCGTCAGGCTAGTAAGTGATGGGTCGGCGGTGTCGGTCGGCATTACGCTTAGCGATGATGTTCGATTTTTTATTGCGTCTGCTGCTCGGGTTCGTGCTGCCTGTAAAATTTCTGCAAACTGTTGCGCGCGTGGTACTTGGTTGTCGGGATTTGGGGTCATGGGTACTGTGGGGTCTTGTCCGTAGTTCAGGTAGAAAGGTGATTGGGTCATGGCGGATTGCGAGTTGTTGTATGCGAACTCGATAAGTGGCAGTTGTTGCTCCCACGTGGTCGGGTCTTCGCACGTGGCTCGGATTAACTGCTCCATGGTCTGATTCCTCCGTTCCGTCTGTCCGTCAGTTTCGGGGTGGTACGATGAGCTGAACTGTAGTCACGTGCCGAACTGCTGCCACAGGTTCCGCCAGAAATTGCTGGTGAATTTTGTGTCGCGATCGCTAATGATTGTTGCTGGTATCCCATGCAGTCTAACGACGGTGGAGATGAAAAGTCGAGCTGTTTCTTCAAAAGAGATTGATTTCTTGCAGGCTGCAAAATGTGCCATCTTCGTCAGCCGATCAACAACGGCTAGGATCGCGTTGTTCCCACTTGCTCTGGCCGGTAACCCCGTGACGAAGTCCATCGTCACCTGCTACCAATCACGCTCTGGGGGTGGTATCGGCTGCAACTGTCATGCCGGCCGCTTCCGTGATGATTTCATGAATTGGTAGGTGGGACACGATGTGACGTGTTATTGCACGTTGGTCAGCATCTCGGGCCAGTAGTAATATCGCTGCAGCTGCTGCCGTGATTTTTCTACCCCGAAATGCCCTGGAGGTAACCTTGTTGTGTGCCTCCTGTAGTAACAGCTCCCTTGATAAAGTGTAGCCCGCTACCCAGATGCGATCAGTGCCGGCTTTTACGTAATAAACCCCTTTTGCTGCTGCGAACTACTGTGAGTTGCCTCCAGTGAAGAATGGGTCTGTCTGATAATAGTGGGTAAATAGTCTCGTAAGCAGTGGGCTGGTCTGGGCGAGTAGTATGGCATGGATTTGGGCAGTGGGGCGGGTCAGTGCGTCGGCAATGTTGGATGCCCCCTTTTTGTAGGTGACCGTGTAATGAAAATTTGACTCGAGAAAGTCGAGCCAGCGAACCTGTCGTGGGTTGAGGTGGGGCTGTGCGCAAAGGTACTGTAGCGATTTATGGTCTGTCCGTACTGTCACGTCTGTGCTGGTCAAGTAACAGCGCCAGACCTTGAACGCATGCACGATCACAAGCATTTCGCGGTCGTGTATCGGGTAATTTTTCTCGTGCGGGAGCAGTTTTCGTGACTCGTAGGCGATGGGCTGTTGGCCGTTACCGAAATCCTGTAATAGTACGTCTCCGATGGCGATGTCGCTTGCGTTTGCGGCTACTTTAAATGGGCGGTGTGGGTCGGCAATGCGCAGTGAAAAAGTACTTGAGAGACGGTGGCCTTACGTGGAATCCCAGCCAGAGCCCTGGGCGCGCGCTGGTGTGAAGAATTAACAACAGGAATGTTGTAAACTATCGAGAGAGTTGGTACATGTACAAAACCTAAAGGGGTTGTACCCCATGTCAGCTACCCCACTTTAGCCTACCCATTATACCATAGCATATATATGTTTGACAGCTGGCGCTGGGCAGCGGGACACGCGCTGGCGCTGGGCAGCGGGGCGTGCGCGGGTACGGGGCAGCAGGGCGCGCACGGGCGCTGGGCAGCGGGGCGCGCGCTGGCGCTGGGCAGCGGGACACGCGCCGGTACAGGGCAGCAGGGCGCGCAGGGCAGCAGGGCAGGTGGGGCACGCGGCAGGTCAGCGTAATAGCGCTAGGCAGGGCAGGGCACACGCGCGTCGAGCAGGGCAGCCCGCGACGGCAGCAGCTCCTGTGGCAAGAGTGACGGTGGGCCTTAAAACGGTCCTAGATCAGGACCAGCTCTGAAACCATGTCAGAATGAATACAGCGAAATGAGGTGCATTAGCATGAATGAGGAGTACAAGTACAGCTAACCCTAATGGGTTGTACTAAATACAGTCCACCCCACTACATCCTACAGAACGTATACGTTATTTTGACACTACTATTAAATGCCAGCCCTGATCTCAATGTTATAGTCTACAGTCCACTTAGGGGTCGCGGATACCCATGAAACCGCCTAAGTAGAAACTGACGACTTCGAACCGCCTCTGTTCAAAACGCCGTCACGATCAGCTCCGATAACACACGAGGCTGAAACTTGGACAGCAGTTAGCGTTAGGTGTCTGCTTTCCAACGGTGTATTGCTTGCTTTCACCAGAGGTGTATGCGCTACGCTGTGAACAAAAACGTAAGCTTGGCTGAAAAACGTGTATTCTCATTGATGCAAGGAAGAGGTGAGTACAACATGTCCTAGGGAACTCTTAAGGGGTTGGGATCATCCTGGGAACTCAGAGAAGGTTGAGTCCAGGGCCCAAAACATCAGGGTAAAACGCCCTGATTACCCTGGGGGCCGGCCGCTTTTTCAGGATTACCCTGCCAAAATCAGGATTGCACGATAGTTACCCTTCTGCAAAAAGAGCATGTTTTTTTTTACACTGATTGGATTTATGGTTAGCCTGACGGTGTCAGGGTAGGGTGTAGACTACCCTGATACCGGAACTTCTTTACCGCGGATCAGGCCTTATTCCGCGTGGTGACGAACTGTACCACACTCACATATCAGACATTTCCAAAAAGCCCTGACAGCAAATTCGCCCTGGCACGGTAGTTTCGTGCTGTTAGAGCACAGCGAATTCGCCCAATCACAGTTTTGCGCCGTCAGGGAGCAGAAAAATTGCCCAATCACAGCGGAATTACCCTGACACAAGAGCAGATTCGCCCTTACACGAGATTCGCCCTGTCAGACCCTGTTGTGAGTGCTGCTTTATTATGTTAGTATAGAAAACTTAGCTCACAAAATAGTAGCCGGAACAGGCTTAGCCTAAAACTACCTTGCTCAAATCAGGCTATAGGTTGATTTACCCTGCTGCAAACAGGGTACGAAAATTTTTACCCTAGGGGTCGGGCTAAGGAGGGGCTGGAACCCTGATTTGTAAGGGTAGGCCTAAACCAATTTTGGGCCCTGGTTGAGTCCTAGGGGAGAAAGGCTAGAGAAAGATGAAAACATCCTAGCTAGGTCAGCAAAGCCAACCACACTTGGATGTTCAGAGCTGTACCCAAGGCTACCAATGGTGAGTCAAGCCAACATGAGTCAGCTTGTCTTCCCACTTGTACCCTCTTGCAAGCTGCTTCCAGGAAGACCACACTTCTCAAAACGAGGGTGGTAGAGTCCCACTTGACCACCTGTACTTCTTGTCTCATTCTCTGTCCCTGCACCATTGACATGACAACAATGAAAGGGTGGCAAGGGAAATGCTGCCAACAGTGCACCATGACTACGGAACAGTGACTTTCGACATCTGTCACGCAATGCTTCGATGTTGGATCGTTCTGAAACTTGGTGACCACATGCAAAACGGGGCAAAGGACTTCAAGACCGAATTTCAGACCAATCAGAGCTCGGTAGACGAGTCAGCAGCCGAAATGGTGAACTCGGGTGTTACCAAAAAAAGTCTTGAAACTTTAAATGTTGTCATGCCTTGGTAACTGCTTCAAAAATTCTGAAACTTTGAAGGTTTGAAGAACACATGTTGAAGAAGCTCCCCACAAGAAGCTGATCAGGCTTGTAGGCTGAATGGGTGTGCGATGACTATGCCACTATAATGTGTTGGCACAACACTCAACACGGTATGTGGCCCACTGTAGCTTAGCATGCATATTTGCAGTTTGACACCTTGCACAATCAGGTTAATCTACCTCATTAAAATTACCCTGATTTTGACAGGGTAGAAAATAAAGTATCATCACAAACAAGGTGCCATTAGCAATGGACCCTGATTCCCAAGGGTTATCTCAAACCAATTTTGGGCCCTGTTTAGCACCACATATCCAATAGCACTCGTTACCAGTGAACAAGATTGTAATTTAGGTAAACGAAGACACGAGTGTTCCTCTCATTGCCAGAGCAGCTAACGCTAGTCCTCATCACCCTCCTCCCCTTCACTATCCTCGCTCTGCTCATCCTCTTCCTCCTCCACATCCTGCTCTTCATGCAACAGCTCCTCCTCCTCCTCATGCCCATCACTCCATGGCTCGTCAACCGCCTCCGCACCGTCATCATCCTCACCAGCCCCTCCCTCGTGTGCGCCACCATCCTCAGCATCCACGGCATCTTTCCCCAACACTTGGGCGAATTTCTCCGCCTCCTGCTTCAGCCGTTGGGCCACAGCCTGGGCGCGTGCCACCACGTCCTCCTCACCCCCCCTCTTCTCCTCGCCCTCCACTGTCACCTCGCTCACGCCCCCACTGCTCACCTTCTTCTCTGCCAATCCATCCCCACCCTCTGCCTGCACCTGCACCTCCTTCACACCTTTCCTCTCCTGCTCTTGCGTCCCCTCGGCATCTTCCGCACTCTTCTCCCCTTGCCCATCCACTTTACCCTCCACCTTTCCCTTCCTCTTCTGCTTCTGCTCCTTCGCCCCGCCCGTTTGCTTCGCCCCCTTGCCCTTGCCTGCTGCAGCGCCTGCGGCTGTGGCTGTGGCTGTGGCTGTGGTTGGGGTTAGGGTTGGGGTTGGGGCTGCCTCGCCCTCCTCGTTGAAGCGCTGGTGCATCCCCCCCTCGGGCCTCGCTGCCTTGGGCTGCATGAAGCACAGCAGGAGAGGAGAGAAGGGGTTAGGGGAACGAGAGTAGGGTTAGGGGAAGAAAAGTACAAGGCAACAAGAAGAAACAATGTCTCAAGTCACGACATGAAGCACTCGCGCAGACCGCTTCACTTCCATCCAACAGCCAACGAACGGCTACAACAATCTCATACCATATCCGCTCCTTCCTTCCCTAACCTGTCTGACTCACCCTTTCAATCTCCAGCCAGTGGCAGCAGCGGCAGCAACAACAAGTGATAAGAGGCAGCGCATGGGCGCACCTTGGGTTGGAAGTCGTATTGGATGCCAGCCGCCTTGAGTCGCTTCATGGTGGCATTGAGCTTCTTCGACTGCTTGCGCGCCTGCTCACTGTAGTCCTCCCATGTCTCCACCTGCTCATGCCGTGCCACACCACGCCATGCCATGCCATGCCATGCCATGCCATGCCATGCCATGACAGGTTAGCCAGGGCGGTGATGTCATGCCATTTCGTTGAGTGCGATACCATGAGAGGCGATTCCAAGGAGTGGAACACCATATGAACGAGAGAGGCCAACATGCGGAGAAGAAGCAATGAAGGGGAAGAGGCAAGCGTGAACGAGACACATGCTTCCAGCAGCTCACAAGCATGCAGCCATGCAGTCACGCAGACATGCATGCATGCAGAGGGGGCTTGGGAAAACCTACTAGAGTTACGCTTGGAAGCTCTTGGTTGAGTCTTACCGGCTTGGGCTGAGAGACTTCTGAAGGGTTCTTGTGGGGAGTGTAGAACCTGTGAGAGGGGGGACGGTACAAGTCGTTGGCAGGGCGCAGCATGGGTGGGACAAGGAGCAAGTCCAGTTTGAGACAGTGTGCTGTGCCCGTAACACAGACTGGGGCAACGCGTGGAGCAACCACGTCGGTATGAATGTATGGCAGGGCAGCAAGGGGAAGGTGGTGTAACCCTTGATTCAATGGCGTGGGTATGACCGCTAGGGCGATGAGCGCAATGGTCCCCACTTGCTGCGCCCACCCATGGCACGTGCCACGTTCTAGCCACATGCCATGTGCCTGTTCCTTGCCGTCCCAGTGAACTACCCACCACACTCACAACATCACTCCCATGCTAGCCCCAACACCCACCCCACTGCCCCCCCACCTTCCATCCACACAATGCCCCTCCCCCCTCCACCCCCCCCCCCCACCCCCCATGGCACTGACAGCTGGTCGCGGTCGGCGCGGGTGGCGGGGACGAGGTGCGTCTTGAGCAGGTGGCCGAAGAGCAGGTAGTTGTCCATGCACTCCGCCACTATCGCTGCCACCTGCCGTGCCATGCACGCACACACACGCAGGGGTGCGTGGACAACCGAGGAACGAGGGGCGGGGTGGAAGGGATACAGGGTAGGCGGGGGGAAATAAAGAGGAGAGGGGGAGGAGGGGGTAGGTGGGGTAAGTTTTCATGCATGGACCCTGAGAATCGAGGGGGCTCATGCACTCACGCACAGCCACATGAACATGCATGTGCATGGACATACATACCCACCCCCCCAGCCTTCCCAACCTGCCCTCATCTCCCCACCCAGCAACCGCAACAAACGGGGTCGGCCACACGACGAGCAGCCCAGCGCGCACCTCAGGCGCGGCGAACTTGACGTAGCCGTAGTGCCGCGACCTCCCCGTCTGCTCGCCGCCCGCCCCGCCATGCGCCGCCGCACACACAAGCAGTGGGGGGAAGTAGAGGGGAGGGCGGGGTGGGGAGAAGGGGAGGACGGGTGAGACGGGGCAGAATGGAAGAGGGGAGGGGGGAGGGAAAGAGGGAGAGAGGGAACGGTTGCAGGAAGAGAGAGGGAGGGAAGAATGAAACATACTTAACGGAAACGAGAGCAAAGCTAACGTGAAAACAGTGAACAACCTCAGTGCTCTCTTCCCTCTCCCCTAAACCCCTCTTCCCTTTCGTCCGTCTCCTCCCCCACTACTTTCCTTTTCCCCCCCACTCTCCTCTATCCCCCCTCTCCCACTCCCCTCTCTCTTTTCTCCCTCTCCCCCACCCTTCCTCTTCTTCTCCCTCCCTCTCCTCTCCCACTCCCCTCCCGCTGCCCCCGTGCTACACCAACCGTCCCCTTGGCCCGCGCGCCCCCGTGCGCACCTTGGGGTTGCGCACCACGCGCAGCTGCTCGATCTCGCCGAACTGGCTCAGGAACCCTGCGCGCACAGGGGGACGCGCGCGGATGGGGGGATGCGGAGAGGGGGAAGCGGGGCGACGCAAAAAGGGGCGTGGGGAGAGTAGAGGGGTGAGGACGTGGAGAGGCATGACGACGGGGCCGCGCGCAGAGGGGGCAGCAGAGAGGCAGTGCTGCTGCGCTGCTGCGCGTGTGTGCTTTTTTCTGGCACGTGGGCGATTTTGGACAGATCACGTAGCGAGGAGGAAAGAAGAGAGCGCAGAGCGGATCCGGATTGCACTGACGCGCGCACCTACTCTTTGCTACGATACAATAGCAATCCCTCAGAACGCGCGATCCTTGAAAACGTGACGACTAAGTCCTCACAGTTCCCACGCACGCCTGGTTCTAGAAAGAGTTAAAAACCGCCTGTCACTCTTCACAGCTCACGCACCTACCTGAACCTACCTGCACCCATAACATATCCTTGTACCCATGCTCTCGTGCCGTCCTCTCACACCTTCACTTCATTCCCTAAACCCCGAACTCCTGCAGGCTCTAACCCCTTAAAACCCCGTACCCCGAGCCCCTCTCCCCATGCGTCCGCGTGCGGGCGCGCGTACCGTGGAGCTCGTCCTCGTAGAAGCCGTGCGGCAGGCGCCCCAGGTACACCACGCTCGACTTCACCGCCTTCTTCCGCCGCTGCTTCCCGCCCCCCACGCGCGCCTCCCCGCCAGCCTTCGCCCCCGCGCCCGCGTACCGCTCCCGCTTCTCCCGCTCCCGCCCCTTCTGCTGCTCCTTGCTTCTCCGCACGCTCCGCAACCCGACAAACTGCACCGCCTGCGTCTGCGCCTGCTCTTCCGACTCCCCCAGGGGCTGCGCCGCTTCTCCCCCGCCGTCCCCCCCGCCCTGCTGCTCCGCGTCCGCCTGCTTGGCGCGCTTTGCATCGGCGTCACTTGCGCCATTAGGAGCTTCCGCCGCTTCCCGGCGCTTCTTGCCCTTCCCTTTGCGCCCGTCCGGCGCAGCTTCGAGCGGCTGGCGGGGCGGGGGGGAAGAGAGGAGGATGGGTAATTGGTGCAGCGACAAGACAAGGGAACCATATATTCACCAATCACGCAAGAGGTGAGGTATTTCGCGAATGTAACAGTTCAGCTGCGAACACGGTCGAGCCAACGCTGATAGACATCTAAACTCTAGCTCTCCTTGACTCGCCGTTAATTTTCTTTTTGTCCCAGGAATTGTTTCAGACGTGCACCCACGTCGCGTTTGCCCAAATGAAAAACCTCGTCAAATCCCTGGCTGGGATGTGCCCACTGATCGCGACCACGCCTGTCCGTGTGCCAGCAACGCATTGGGTCTTCTTTGTTTCAACGGCCTAATCGCAGTTCGGAGCTGGACCACGGCAGCGACTTTGGGATTGCCTGGACTCCGCGACGGGACGGCCTTTCCCAGACATGAAAAGGGCCGCTAGAAGCACGCAGAACTCGCTGGGGCACGTTGGGCTCTTCGAGTCAGCTCGTCCGATAATACTCGACACTCACTCGATTCAGTCACCGCGGTATCCACGCCCGCCGTGACGGCGACAGTTGCTTACCATGAATGGCGCGCTGAGAGCATCCATGGCGCGCCTGCAGCGATTTGCCAATCGCTCGAAAGTCGGAATCGGCAAATACCCTGCCTGCGTGTCCCTAGTTCAAGCGCGTGGAGTTAGTCGCACAGCAAGTAACAAGCGCCTATTACGTAACGTGGAGCGCACGACGAAATGGTAGGAGACAAAACGAGTTCGTGGTGAGAAGCACGGGACGGGAAGCACGGGAAAGAACAATCCAAGGGAGGAGGGATGAGTGATGAAGGAGATGGGTCTAAACGGTTAGGGTTTGGGGGATGGAAAATCGCAGTTCCCAGACCAAACAGTTCTGTCATCCACCTTGCAGGCACATCCCGTTGTGCCCGCACGCAAAAGTATTTGAAGCCTATTTTGAATATTATGACTAGGGCTAAAGATTCAAATTTTAGGCTCTCATGTTTCCACCTTCCTTCTTTCTTCCTTCCTTTCTATATTTATTCTTTCTTTATTTTTTTCATTGACTGTTTATTTCTTTCTTTCTTTCTTTATTTTCTTTTTTTCGTTCTTCCTTTCTTTCTTCATTCATTCATTCTTTCTTTTTGTTGGGCTGAAAAATAGCCTACTGATCTCTTAAAGTTTTGTCTTGATTATTTTTTAAATAAATATACACCGATAAATCTAGTGCATATGAAACGCATTGTCAGAATGAGAACATTAGAATGATGTGTGACCAGCAGCAGTGAGATACAACTATGCAGCCCTAAAAAGTGTTGTGCATTATATGGGCTACCCCATTACAGCCTACAAACATATAATGCAGTTTGGCACACCCCCATAGGCAAAGTGGGGAATAGCGAGAACTCTCAAGAGCAACCCATAGCGGAATGATGAGAATAGAAAGGGATGGGGTACAAATATGCAAACCTAGAAATAATTGTGAAAGAACGAGGAATGTGAAGAAAGGAGGGGTTTCACTAGCAGTAGTTGGGATACATATAGCAAACCATAACAGGGTTGTACTCGCTATAGAGCACCCCACTACAGGCTAGATAATAACATTCGGACACACCCCCATAGCCAAAGTGGGGTGTAAACAACACAATGAGCAGGAGTTCACAATAATAAGCAAAGCTAGAGGTAATCACAGCGGGCAAGTGAGGAGGAGGAGGAACTGTGGAAGGAGAGAAGATGGGAGGCAACGACTGAAGCTGCAGAGGCACGGGCACAGGAGCGGCTGACTCAGTGGCTACCGAAGCAAGGGCGACGGACTACTGGAGTGACTGGCTCCGCGGCTAAGACGAGCGGCAGGAGCAACGGACCCACTGGCGACTGGTGCAACAGACTCACTGGCTACCGAAGCAAGGGCGACGGACTACAGGCGCTGCAGGCGACACGACAGCTACCTCCACACAACCTCCTCCAACTGACCCACACCCTTGACACACGCCCTAACTGCTTCACCCCTAACTCCACTCCCATGTCACCCCCTCGTCCCACTCCGACGGCTCCAACACAACACATCCACCCCCCTCAGCGGCAGCTGCAGCACTGGGAGACGGAGGAGGAGGAGGAGCAGGGGACGGCGCACAGAAACTGCACCCCCATACCCCCCACCCCCAAACCCTAATTCAGGAGAACGGGCAGCAGCAGGGGTGGGGCGCCGTCAGAAGCACGGGGGACAGCGGGCAGCTCAGGGGCAGAGAAGAACGGGCCGCCCACGGGCCTGGGACAGCCAGACGAACCGCGCGCAGGCGGCCCGAGCCGCGCGCGGGCCTGGCGCAGCCCGTACGGGCCGCGCGCGGGCCTGGCGCAGCCCGTACGGGCCGCGCGCGGGCCGGGCGCAGCCCGTACGGGCCGCGCTCGGGGCTAGCGCAGCCCGTGCTGGCCGGGACGGGCGACCGGGGACGACGGGCTGGTCCCCGTCGCCCGTCGAAGCGCCCCCCGGGGGCGACGCGCGGACCGACGGGGCAGAAATCCGCCGCGCGCCTCGGGGCGCACGGCGGACAGAGAACCGCCGCACGCCCCGGGGCGCACGGCGGGCAGAAAACCGCCGCGCGCCTCGGGGCGCACGGTGGGCAGAAAACCGCCGCACGCTCCGAGCACGCGGCGGGAAGAAAAATCCGTCGCACGCCACGGGGCGTGCAACACACAGAGTAGCAGTGGCAGCGGAAGCAGTGAGGTGGTGGGCCCATACACAGGAACGACCCAGGAGGGTCGACCTGCTCTGATAGCATGTGAAAGAACGAGGAATGTGAAGAAAGGAGGGGTTTCACTAGCAGTAGTTGGGATACATATAGCAAACCCTAACAGGGTTGAACTCGCTATAGAGCACCCCACTACAGGCTAGATAATAACATTCTGACAATAATACCCCCTACAAGGCACCTCACTACAGCCTACAAGAGCTATTATACTTAGACAAGAACAACTAATGGTCACAAGACCAGTAAAGCCAAGAAGCAAAACAAAGTAAAGCTCATAGTGGATCTCAAGATCACCACACAGTCTGAGCACAAGGCCAATTCACATGCAGAGTAATAAAAGTACAAGCATTACAGTGAACACAATCTAGCAAGAGTAAACTTTGTCAGAGATCCACTGGTGATCCCCGATTGATCCTAGGGAAGGGTTACAGGCACGTTGGCCTTGGGGGTTATGGGCGCACTCACCCGCAACACAAACAAGCCTTTTTATCCCAGTGGTTAGTGACTGGGATTCTGACATGGTATCAGAGCAAAGGTCTCAGGTTCGAATCCCAGTGTGTGAACTTCAGGCATCCCAGTGCGGGGGGGTGTCAGAGGTCCACTGGTGATCCCCGATTGATCCTAGGGAAGGGTTATAGGCACGTTGGCCTTGGAGGTTATGGGCGCACTTACCCGCTACACAAACAAGCCTTTTTATCCCAGTAGTTAGTGACTGAGATTCTGACAAGCTTCAGATATATATATACATATACATATATATATCATAGTAGAACTCAAAGTCAAGAAGTAAGCAAGTGAGGCAAAGTAGGCATTAGGCATAGAGCAGTGCAGAAACACTGATGATTACTAGACACAAGTGCCTTGGTGAAAATATAAGCAGTATTGGCCCGTGAGGCCACGTAAGCAAGGCGAAGCTGACCACGCTGCTGCAACTCTCAAGCGAGAAAGTAACGAAGAGCAATGTGCTTTGTTCTGTGCTCCAGTCTCTGCTCTGGACACAAGGCAATCGAGACCTTGTTGTCGACGTACAAAACCGGAGTAGAACAAGGCCGCTCAACCAAATATGTCAGCAAGTTGGTCAACCAGCATAAGTCCTGTGCAGCCATGGCCCCAAGGTAGATCGCAGTCTCACAACTAGAGCTGAGAACTTTAGACGACTGGGTGGACCTCCAGGAGACAGAACCAGAGCCGAGACTGAAAGTGTAACCCTGTCACGACCGCTGAGTCTCCTGGTCGTCTGCTTAAGAAGCGTCTGAGTGCCCGGTGAGCACAACTGAGCCCCGTCCTCCAAACACAAGCCCCATGCCCGATGTACTGCACAAGTAACACAGTACCGTCTGCGCAACTGCCCAGTGCTCCTTCTTGTATCTCCCGGGCGCAACGAAGCCAGTCATCAGGTCAAATGCAAGTCATCAGGTACATGAGGCAGCCCACAAACTCTGAATACGGACCACTCGGCTCTACGGACTCGTCCAAAGGTGGAGCTGAGAGCGAGTGGTTTGCTGGCAAAGGATTGGGCTGTGGCGAGGAGAACAGAAAGCGGAAGCGTTGAAGGACATGCTGCACCATGTGTGAATGAGTCAAAAAGATGGTGCGCCTTGCTCTGTTCTAGGTGATCTGCAAGCCAAGATAGCTGCACAGGGCACCCAAGTCAGTGCAAGTGTGTCTCCTCTGCAGCTCCACCTGGGTTTAGGGCCAGTGCCTCAGTGTCGGCAGTAGCAAAAACCAAGTCGTCGACATACACGAGGATGTAGAACGGTGGCAGAAAAGTATCCGTGGGCAGAAACAACGACGGGTCAGCAGTCGAAAGAGCAAACCCAAGAGCCGCAAGTGTCGTCCTCAGTGTATCGTGTCAGAATCCCAACCACTAGACCATTGGGATAAAAGGGCTTGTTAAGTAGCGGGTCAGTGCGCCCATAACCCCCCAGGCCAACATGCCTGTAACCCTTTCCTAGGATCAATCGGGGATCACCAGTGGACCTCTGACACCCCCCCGCACTGGGATGCCCGAAGTGCACACACTGGGATTCGAACCCGAGACCTTCGCTCTGATACCATGTCAGAATCCCAACCACTAGACCATTGGGATAAAAGGGCTTGTTAAGTAGCGGGTCAGTGCGCCCATAACCCCCCAGGCCAACATGCCTGTAACCCTTTCCTAGGATCAATCGGGGATCACCAGTGGACCTCTGACATATCGTGCCACTATCAGGGCGCTTGGCGGAGACCGTAGACTGGCCGCTTAAGGCTCTACTGGGTACCCTCAGGGAACAACCCAGTGAAGCCAAGTGGGCGACGCAACCAGATCTCCTCGTGAAGACTGCCCTGCAGGAAGGTTGTGGAGAAGTCAAGTGAGTGCAGCTCGTAGTTACGCAGTGCTGCAACGTGCAGTAACATTCGAAGAGTAGTCATGTTCGGGGTAGGGGAGAAGGTCTCAAAGATGTCAACTCCCTGTTGCTGACTGAAGCCTCGTACAATGTTACGTGCCTTGAAGGCAGGCGGAGAACCCGGGGGCCACTTCACCCTGAAAATCCATATGCCATCGACTATGTTCACCCTAGGAGGGGGAACCTCGTCGACGTAGGTGCCTCTGGGCTTTTAGAAAGCCATGCTTCCATGGCTGTCTGCTACTTAGAGGAGTACTGAAATCGCCTCTGCATAATAGCGTGGGGTCGGGATGTCTAGTGCATCCGGGTCTCCCTCAGGGGCAAGCTGCATAGCAGCGAGATGAGGATCATCAGTTGCAAGGCAGTCGAGCTGTCTGTCCTCAAGGACATCACAGCCAAGGGCAAGCTCCCACCCGACGGACGGAGGACAGTCAGACTCAGACACAGAAACAAGACTCGTGAA